GAGTTTAACATTATTTTTTTGCATTGTCCTCGTTGAATTGTGCGGCTCGCGCCACGTTTAATTAACCGCTCGTGTGCTGACTTCTCTCCCGCTCTGTGCTGCTCCAGGCACGCTCAGAGTTGCTGCAGCGCTGCAGCAAGCTGGAAGAGGCACTTCACGACACGGAAATGCGTCTGGACGAGGAAGAGGACCGCAGCAAGGACCTGTCTGCAGAGCAGAAGAAGCTGCAGGAGAAGATCACCGTCATGGAAGAACAGTAAGCTGAAAAATGGGAAAAACAGGTTTTCTCGCCTGTCAGCCGCCTGTCAGCTGCCTGGCCTCGTGGAAACACACTCTGTTGTGGTGGTTATTATTATTGACTTTCTTGGTGAAATTTTGCAGGCTTCTATATGAGACAGGCTTCTATACAAGACAGGTATTTCTATGTATGTCAACACTAAAACTATGCTTATGTGTGATTTGATGGGCCCAAAATTGCGGCTTCTATTCAATTGCGGCTTTTATACAAGACTTTACGGTATGTCAATGTACAGAGACTGACCTGGGTCTTGTTATGTCTCGTAGTTACATTGCTATGCCACAATGCCTGCGACATGAGCAGTGATTGACAACTAAAATTCTCTCTCTGTCTCTCTCTCTCTCTCTCTCTCTCTCTCTCTCTCTCTCTCTCTCTCTCTCTCTCTCTCTCTCTCTCTCTCTCTCTGTCTCTCTCTCTGTCTCTCTCTCTGTCTCTCTCTCTCTCTCTCTCTCTCTCTCTCTCTCTCTCTGTCTCTCTCTCTCTCTCTCTCTCTCTCTCTCTCTCTCTCTCTCTCTCTCTCTCTCTCTCTCTCTCTCTCCTTTGTTGCGTATGCTGGCAGAAGAGTCCGGAAAGGCTCAGAAGCTAGTGTTGGCGAATGTTGCACTAGAAGCTAAGGTCAAGGGCCTTGATGAGATGACTGAACGCCAGGAAGACCAACTAAATAAGGTATACTTCTTATATGTTCCTGTCCTGTGGTGGCTCTCCTCCTCCTCCTCCTCCTTTCTCTCTCTCTCTCTTTCTCTCTGAGGTCTTCCTTTCTCTTCCTCCATTCTCCTCAGTGCATGATTGTTTCACTTGACGTCTTGTGTTGCAGGGTAAACTGTTGCACTTCATGTTCACGAAGCTGTCAATCGACGACACATGGGTACCTGTGTTTATCTCTATTCATAGTCAACACCATTCCTATCGAAAGCACTTGACATTGGTGTTCCTGCTGGCAATGGTAACAATGACACTGATTCTTGTGATGTTGGTGGCTCAGTTGTTCTTTGCTTTGTTTGCTGTGTGTTTGACAGCTTCAAAAGGAGCGTAAGCAACTAGAAGAGCGTGTCAAGGAGACCACACAGGCGTTGGATGACGAGAGTGATCGCGTCAAGACCCTGGCCAAGTCCAAGGCTAAGAATGAGACCATGATTGCTGACCTGGAGAGTCGCCTGGGCACCGAAGAAAAGGTACATTCAGCCTGCAAGTGTGTGTGTGTGTGTGTGGCGTGAGAGAGAGGGTGTGTGTGTGTGTGTGGCGTGAGAGAGAGGGTGTGTGTGTGTGGGGCGTGAGAGAGAGGGTGTGTGTGTGTGTGGAGTGAGAGAGAGGGTGTGTGTGTGTGTGTGTGTGCATGTGTTTGCGTGTGTATGTGTATGTGTGTGTGGAGGGGGGGGGGGGGGTCTGGCTCTGTGCTTGTCTTTTTGTTTGTTGGCCACTGCCCTGTGCCGTGTTTATCTGCTCAGCATGTCCCAGCAGTAATCACCCACAACATGCTGCTTATTTGTAGTACTGTATAAGCAGAAATATTCGTCTGGAATTTAATTTCGTCTTTTTCGTCCAAGGAGCTTTTGGACTAAATTAAATGTAGGACGAATATCGATTTGTCCAGCGTTTCTATACACTCTTATGATCTATGGACGAAATTTTCAACCGGACGAACTCCTTTTCTTTGGAGTTGGACGAAATTATTGACCGACGAAATTTTCTGCCTCTACAGTATTGCTCACGGGTGACTTCTCATTGTGCTGAACTGAACCACTGCAACCACATGCAATACTATGCAGGTCTCTATTTAAACCTTTAAAACTGCAGTTATGTAACTCTCCCTTTCTTTCTCTATGGATCATAGGAGCTGCTGCATCTGCGCCTTGATCCGTAGCGGGTGCTGGTGTTCCTACCGATGCGCAAAACACCTTGATCCGTAGCGGGTGCTGGTGTTCCTACGGATGCGCAAAACACCTTGATCCGTAGCGGGTGCTGGTGTTCCCACGGCGGATGCGGAAAACTTGGCCTTCAGCCGAGTCTGACGCGAACCGTGAATTTTATTTACTCTTTTTCGCTCGTTCTTCGTATTGTAGAACCGCAAGGAGTTGGAGAAGCAGAAGAAGAAGTTGGATGCTGAAGCACGTGAGCTGCAAGAGAAGCTGTTTGCAGCGCTGATGAAGATCCAAGAACTGGAGTCCACCGTTGCTCGCCTTGAAGGAGAGCTATCCTCCACAAACCAGCGGTGAGCATTAACACCAGTGGTGGCTCTTGATATCTATCACCATTAGAATCTTCTCTGTAGCGTAAATCATCAGCTGTCGAACCCCGGTCATGTCCAATAGGGTACTTTTTTCTTTCTTTTTCTGGTCGTGCCAGCTCACCACGTTGTCTATTACTTATCCTGCTCTATTACAATGTGCACGCGTGTGTGTTTGTCGGGTATCTGTAGGCTTGAAGAGGAGAGTGCCGCCAAGGCGCAGCTGGAAAAGAAGCGTCGTGAGCTAGAAGGTGAGATCGCCGACTTGAACGAAGATTTGGACATGGAACGTTCCGCCAGGGGAGACGCTGAGAAGAAGAGCAAGCAGCTGGAATCGGTACGTTCACTTCTCCTCTTTCACCCATTTAGCCCTTTCAGTGCCAAGGGGGTCAGAAAAATTCAAATTTTTCTGCGTTGAGCCCAACTCAAATTTTTCATAGCTCAGCTGTATATCCACGAATCTTTACAAACGATGGCTCTCTGGAAAGATATCATGGCCAGGCAGACAGCTGGGAAGAGAAAATGCAGCGAAAATAGTCTTCCTCGCGAGGGTGACTGAGCGAAGTCCGTTTTCTGCATTTTCGTAGCATCTGCACTTTCTCACGCGCGCGATCGATCGCAGTGCAGTCAACTTTCAACACACGAAATTCGGACAAATTTGGCCTGAAAGCCACTGAAAATCTCGTTGTTTGCGCATACGTCATGTTTTCTACGCGCGACAATTGTTTGTCCGAGCGCGAGCGCTTCAGGCTTCGCCCTGGCGATATCTATCCTCACGGACACAAAACGATGTGATGAGTCGATAGCCAAGGTCTTCCTGAAGACGTAGAGTGGTCGTTTGTAACTCTCCTGTGTGTAGAAGTGGAGATACGAATTTATTTGTACACACATACTCATTCTGGGCGACTAAAGTCGCCCGTGGCACTGAGAGGGTTAAGGCTACATGTCATGGCAACCAGGCTCTCCACGCCTTATTTGGCATTGAAAAAGACGTATATATACGTCCTCAGCGCCTGGGCGTTATTTTTCATGACGTATATGTACGTCTTTGGCGTTAAATGGGTTAATTCATTGCAACTAGCTGAATTGACGATCATCAATGACTTCCTGAACTGACAATCATCAATGACTTCCTGAACTGACAATCATCAATGACTTCCTGAACTTACAATCATCAATGACTTCCTGAACTGGCTCAGGCTAGTTTCTTTCCTCTACCTTTTGTCATGTGTAGCGGAAAGTTGTCCTTGTTGTGGGTTGTGTCGCATGCCTCGTGTGATGCTTCTTTTATAACTTTCCTTCGCGTTCTGCCTCTATCTCTGTCTCCCTGTCTCTCGCAAACACACACACACACATGCTCACTCTACACCCCCACAGGAACTGGAGAATCTTCGGAATGAGCTTGAGGAGCAAGTGAGTGGCACGGTAGCTATGGAGGAAGTGCGTCGCAAGCGTGAAGGAGAGGTAGCCAGTCTGAAACTGCAGGTGACGGAAGGCACTCGTATGCACGATGCCGCATTGTCCGAGCTCAAGGAGAAGCTCAACTCTCAGATCCAGCGTCTGCAGGAGGAGGCTGATCAGCTGAGTCGAGTAAGTCCTGTTGTCTGTTGTTTGGTGAACATTGCGTACCTACCAGACATTGTTCAAAGTGGGAAATGGAGTTTGCGGTGAAAGCATACGACATGGTCTTGGTATACATGAACACGCTGAGTAGAGTAAGTACTGCTGTGTGTTGTCTGTTGTCTGTGTTCTGGTGGACAATACGGACCTAGAAAACATCCTGTGCACAAGGAAAATTGGCTTTTGGGTGAACACAGACGAAATATTCTTGATACTGTTAACAGGGAAACATGCCTGTTTTAGTAAGTAATTTGCGAGCACACGCACCGATTTGCACCTGGAAAGGTTTGCGACTGGAGTCAATTTCTTTAGTTACTTTCCTACAAGTCAACGTTTTGTGTCAGCTTATTTTTGCGGTTCCACACCCATAGCGAAAATCGCAAACGATTCCATACCGCAAATGTTTCCCGGTTTACAGCTATACTGGTACATGAACTGAACTACCTAACCTGTCCTCTGTGTGTGTGTGTGTGTGTGTGTGTCTGTCTGTCTGTCTGTCTGTCTATGTGTGTGCCTGTCTGTGCGTATGTTTGTTTGTTGTCTGTTCAACTCTAGGCCAATTCCAACCTGGAGAAGGAGAAGAATCGCCTGGTGCATGAGAACCGTGACCTGGTGTCCGAGCTGGAGAGCGAGAAGGCGGCTCGCATTGAGTCCGACCGTCGTCGTCGTAACCTGGAACAGGCTAACATGGAGTTGTCCAACGTCAACAGTGAGAAGAACAGGAAACTGGACGAGCTCACTGCCACAAAGACCAAACTTCAGGTCAGCGTTGGGGAGTTACTAGTAGATGTGTGTCACCAAGAGTACACCAACACCCAGAGTGTCATTTGTACAACTACATGTACAAGCAGGATTCAAGCACATCTCTAACGCTAAAACGTTTGCCGAGAGTGTTGTCTCAACGTGTACTGTGTGATGAACATGGTAATGAGCTGGGTATTTGCTCAAGTAGACGTCTTTAACTCTGAGAGTGAGACCATAAATTTCAGGTTCTTCAGCACTGACATTTGTGAAACGTTTCACAAGTAAACTTTCATGCCCTCTCCTCAGGTGATGTGGACGTCTTTGTTTTTTTGTTCTCGTGTTCTTGTCTTCAGTCTGACCTTGAAGGTAGCAATGCTCACTTGGTGGATCTGGAGTCTAAGGTGTCTAGCCTGGAGCGCGGCAAGCATGCGCTGGAATCCCAGCTCAATGAGCTCAGGGTAAGCTTAGCTTCCAACTGCTGTGGGTGGGGATAGCATGCACAAGTACACTGGAACTCACATGTGGGGTAGTGTCTTTGCTGATTGCATTATGCAGAGCTCACTGACTTGTCAGTTCGAGCACTCTGTGACAAGGTACATTCGGGCCTGGTTTAAATCTGGCTTCTGGATCACGCCACGTCCTTGACTCGCAAGTCACACGCTATGTACAGCTCTGGACACGATTGGTGGCCAGTGCACCTACTACTAATAGATATCTGGTATTTGAAAGTCTTTGCAGACGTGGATGATACTCCTAAACCCATGTTGTTTTCTTGTGTATTCGGGCTATGCAACGGTTTCCAACCTGTCCTCGACAGCATTTCACCAGTGCATGATTCTAACCACAGGTTTATGGCCAGTACCACCACCTGCCACCTACTTTCAAATGCCAGTATGATAACAACGCTGTATATCCGTATTCGAAACAGTATTGCCGAGGGATAGCTGAGGGACAAAAAATGTATTCGGAGCTGAAAATGGTATTGTGCTGCATTCTTGTCTTTCCTTGCTGTTGTTTTTAATTCTCATTGTTCAGGAGTCAACGATGGAAGATGCAGCTAGTCTCTCTGCTGTCACACACAAGCTAAAGGCCTCACAGGCTGAAGTAGTAACTCTCAATGATCAGCTGGAGGAGGAGCAAAATGCCCGCGAAGAGATGCAGAAGCAGTTGAGCAATGCCAACACTCAGGTACATATAGTTCGGATACCTAGGCATGCCTGCTGTCTCTCTCTCTCCGTCTCTCTCTCTCTCTCTCTCCCTCTCTCTCTCTCTCTCTCTCTCTCTCTCTCTCTCTCTCTCTCTCTCCGTCTCTCTCTCTCTCTTTGTTTGTTTGCTCTCAGTCTGTGCAATATTCTTGGGTTGGTTCTTGGGCAATTCTCCAATGGCTCACTCCGAAACCTCTCTGCTATTGGCAACAGTGCTCATTCAAGTCATGCTCTCTGCTCGGTGCTCTGTACTTCTACCTGTGTGTGTTTATGTGCAGCTTGCTGATACACGTCGGGATCGTGACCAACTATCCCTGGACAACGAGGAGCTGGAGAACTACCGCAAGAAGTCGCAGAGAGAAATGGAGTCTCTGCAGACGCAGCAGGACGAACTGGCCAACGTCAACGCCAAGCTGGAGAAGACCAAGAAACGACTAACGGAAGAAGTGAGCGATGGTGCATGCCTGCGTGGCTGTTCTCTAATGCTACATGCTGGTAGTTAGGCTGTTGTACAGTTATGCTCGATGAAATCTGACCTAAAGTGCATGGAGCCGTCTACTTGCACGGTCATTGACGCTCTGGGAGTGGCATGAATGCTGCAGGACGTACACATGTTCACATGCAGTGATGAAATCGGAACTGGTCCTGGGCGTCAGTTTTGCACTTTTCTGTTGGATTTCAGTGAGTGCAGCTGTAGGTTTCTGACTGTAAAGTTCAAGGGTCACTAGGCAGCATGGTGCATGATGAAAGGTTTGCTATATCCAAGCAAACTGATCTTGTTCCTAATAAAATAAATAGAGGAAGAGTGAGCCAAACTATCGTAAGCGAATGTGCTTATAGTTATTATGTGAACACGATTGGTGGAATACTCGGCAGCTGAATATACTACTAAGGCCTCGGTCACACTGCGGCAAATTTGAAACTGGACGCAGCGTCAAACCCAAGCACTTTGGTCACATGACCAAGATGTGAAACCACTCTAAACTCCTGGGTGTAGTATCGGTTGAGTTCTTGTAAGTACAGTGCCAGGGAACACGATAAGATTTCAAAATTGCTCTGACACAATGTCCTGCCACTTCTGGAAACGGTCGGACATGGCCGGACACTGTGATTTGGCAGATTCTGTGATACATGCACATGTCAGGGACTCTTATTTTTCCATCACTTTACATGTACATACTCCCCCCCGGGGGTACATACTCTTGATGAGTTCATCCTGACTTCTCTCTATCTCTTTACGCATTGCTCTGCAGGTTGCCGACCTCAGTGTGAACTTTGAAGCCCAGGCAGCCCGCGCCGCAGAGCTGGAGAAGAAACAGCGCAAGTTTGACCAGACGCTGACGGATGAGCGGGCCAGAACGGAAGAGACTTGTGAGCAGAGGGACGCCGCGCTGCGTGAGTCCAGAGAATATGCTACAAAGGTATGTGACGGTTTTTTGTATCTCCGTCATGGACAGATTGTGCTCTGGTTTGGTCGTGCGTTGGACTGTCATTCTGTGTACTAGTATTGGCAAGAGTACATAACCCCTCAGGAGTGTGCAACTCCACTATGGGTGCTGTCCCGACAGAATTTCAAGTTGACAAGTTGACATCATTTCTATGATGCAATGCAACCTGAAGGCATAGTGGTGACCTGCGGAAGCGAAGGCTATACCTTGTGTGTTTCTGAACATTCAAGTGATGCTAACGCGGATCCCGCGAATATTATTATATTATTATAATGCGAACTGAACTGAACCGACATAATGTGACCCATAGATGCAGGGGTTGTGTGGAGTTGGAACCAACATGGCCAACGTCATGTGACCCATAGATGCAGGAGTTGAGTGGAGGTGGAACCTACATAGCTGCCCCGTGTTATAATTATGGTCATGCGATAGATTTGATAGATTTGAACCAATCTCCATTCAGCTGATGTCAAGCTCTGATAATGAGAACATGTTTTTTTGCTGCGTGTTTGTTCCTGTATTGTTTGCATATAGAACATGGCATTAACACAGGACGTGGAGATGTTGACCAATAAGCTGGCTGAGTCTGAGCGCTCACGCAAGTCACTGCTTGCTGAGCTCAATGATCAACTGGAGAACAAGGATGACACTGGTAAGCTAGGTCAATGATCAACTAGTGAATTATTAGTCTCATCTCCTCTGTGTGTGTGTGTGTGTGTGTGTGTGTGTGTGTGTGTGTGTGTGTGTGTGTGTGTGTGTGTGTGTGTGTGTGTGTGTGTGTGTGTGTGTGTGTGTGTGTGTGTGTGTGTGTGTGTGTGTGTGTGTGTGTGTGTGTGTGTGTGTGTGTGTGTGTGTGTGTGTGTGTGTGTGTGTGTGTGTGTGTGTGTGTGTGTGTGTGTGTGTGTGTGTGTGTGTGTGTGTGTGTGTGTGTGTGTGTGTGTGTGTGTGTGTGTGTGTGTGTGTGTGTGTGTGTGTGTGTGTGTGTGTGTGTGTGTGTGTGTGTGTGTGTGTGTGTGTGTGTGTGTGTGTGTGTGTGTGTGTGTGTGTGTGTGTGTGTGTGTGTGTGTGTGTGTGTGTGTGTGTGTGTGTGTGTGTGTGTGTGTGTGTGTGTGTGTGTGTGTGTGTGTGTGTGTGTGTGTGTGTGTGTGTGTGTGTGTGTGTGTGTGTGTGTGTGTGTGTGTGTGTGTGTGTGTGTGTGTGTGTGTGTGTGTGTGTGTGTGTGTGTGTGTGTGTGTGTGTGTGTGTGTGTGTGTGTGTGTGTGTGTGTGTGTGTGTGTGTGTGTGTGTGTGTGTGTGTGTGTGTGTGTGTGTGTGTGTGTGTGTGTGTGTGTGTGTGTGTGTGTGTGTGTGTGTGTGTGTGTGTGTGTGTGTGTGTGTGTGTGTGTGTGTGTGTGTGTGTGTGTGTGTGTGTGTGTGTGTGTGTGTGTGTGTGTGTGTGTGTGTGTGTGTGTGTGTGTGTGTGTGTGTGTGTGTGTGTGTGTGTGTGTGTGTGTGTGTGTGTGTGTGTGTGTGTGTGTGTGTGTGTGTGTGTGTGTGTGTGTGTGTGTGTGTGTGTGTGTGTGTGTGTGTGTGTGTGTGTGTGTGTGTGTGTGTGTGTGTGTGTGTGTGTGTGTGTGTGTGTGTGTGTGTGTGTGTGTGTGTGTGTGTGTGTGTGTGTGTGTGTGTGTGTGTGTGTGTGTGTGTGTGTGTGTGTGTGTGTGTGTGTGTGTGTGTGTGTGTGTGTGTGTGTGTGTGTGTGTGTGTGTGTGTGTGTGTGTGTGTGTGTGTGTGTGTGTGTGTGTGTGTGTGTGTGTGTGTGTGTGTGTGTGTGTGTGTGTGTGTGTGTGTGTGTGTGTGTGTGTGTGTGTGGTTGCGTGCATGTGTGTGCATGTGTGTGTGGTGTGGTGTGGTGTGTGCATGTGTGTGTGTGTGTGTTTGCGTGCATGTGTGTGTGTGTTTGTGTGTGTGTGTGTTTGCGTGCATGTGTGTGTGGTGTGGTGTGGTGTGTGTGTGTGTGTGAGGGAGAGAGAGAGAGAGAGAGAGAGAGAGAGAGAGAGAGAGAGAGAGAGAGAGAGAGATCATGTGCCTTTACGTCTTTTCTACTCTTCGTCTGTCTGTGGACGATTTCCTCTGATCTCTGTTCTCATATGAAGGTACTGTAGTACTAGTATCAGTAGGGTGGACTCTTTTCTAGAGTTGGTCAACTCTGGTGTCTTCCTTGTTCAAAGCACTTCACTCCGTGTGTGCGTGTGTGCGTGGTGTGACCTGCAGGTAAATTACTTCATGAACTGGAGAAGGCCAAGCGTAACTTGGAAGCACAGCTTGATGACCAGACGATGCAACTGGAGGAGCTAGAGGATGAGCTCCAGAGTGTGGAGGATGCTAAGCTCAGACTGGAGGTAAGTAGCCTTGATGTGTCTGTGTCTGTGCCGCCGACGCTTGTGTATGCGTTTACGGGCATGCGAGTGGGTGTAGCTAAAGGTTCGGCAGCATATCATTAACATTTTGCAGCACTATACTGAAACTGAAGGAACTTCAGGGCTGGTATTTGGGATCACAAAACGGGAAACACGTCGGAGGCCATCTTGAATCACTCTACGTCATCAGATACCCGCACGTGATGCGGGGCCGCGAGATCGCGACTGCGCAAAACTGCCAAAAGTGTACTTGCCAGTGCAGTCTTTGACCTAGCTGCAAGAGCAAGTGCTATTTTTTAGTTTTTGGTGGTGCTTGAACTAGTTCGAACTGCTTCCCTTCGACTTTCTTTGACAGAGCGGGTGCTGTTAGGGTTTCCTGTTGTCAGTTTGTATCCACCACCGGCCTTGTATGTCAGTGCTTGTACAAGGAGGTGTTCAGTAGTTATTTTCAGTCCGCGCCATGGGTCGCATCCAGGGTAGGAAAAAGTCGCACTCTGACCGGCTTGATTATCCCGAGTCGAGAAAGAAGCGAACTAGTGGCCAGTTCGGCTCAGTATCATGGCCAGCTGGACGTAGATCAGATCGCCCCGAGGTCGAACAAGCCGACAGTAGTCCTGAAATCCTTACCTCGCAGAACATTGACGATGTGGAGCGCGGTGTTCAAGAACAAGGAACCATGGTAATAATTGGATTCGCTCCAGAAAATTATTCTCGTGGTTCCCGGTTCCTTTCCCATTATTTCCTATGTTCTGGATACGTGCATCACGCTGAAGCCTATATGAATCAGATTGTAAGTCAGTCTTCTCTCTAGCTCAAGATTTTGCGAACATGTTATCAGTGAACAATAAAAGCAAAGGACACAGTGCAACAAATGGAAAATCCACGTCTCCTTCTTTTCCTTGCCGTGCGCACTGCACTGTCACAGTCTGCACTTCTGACTGGAAGGTGTCTTCCGTTTGTGAAAGAACCAGCGCAAATCGCGCGTGGCGCGGCGTCCTTCAAAACGACACAAGTGAGCTCCACATGAGCCGATTTTGACAATCGATGGCTCAAAATTTTCAGTAGGAGATGCTCCATACTTTGACCGAAGCGAATTTCGCCAAAACGATCCTAGAGGTGGGACACGTTTACCGAGTTTGAGGGTGTTATTTGAGGTCTGAATTGCGAAAATCAAAAAATCCTTCGCTGAATCCCTTTGCCCACATCTGAACTCGGTACCTGCAAAATCTCAGCCTGCTAGAGAGAACTGTGGCTCACTTGCGTGGATTTGAACAGGCCAGAGTCGACGCGAAGTACGGCAAAATTCCCTGTACACAGCATGGTGTGACACATGTCACGTGAACTAAAATGGCGCCCACGTGTTTCTGTACAAGTACTAACCCTGAACTTGCAGCTCCCAGATTTGTGAGGCTCATCCAGCAGTAAAATGGGGAGAACCCCTGACTCTGGGTTGCACACACTATCATGAGTCTGATGGGTCTGAGAGAATGTCACTTACACTCACTAACTATTGCTTTGTCTGTTCCGCATGTCATTGCTCAGGTCAACTTCCAGGCCACCAAGACCAACTGGGAGCGTGAGATGGCGTCTAAAGATGAAGTTGTGGAGGAGCAGCGCCGTGGAATGCAGAAGCAGCTGCGTGAACTTGAGTCGGACTTGGAGGACGAACGTCGCAATCGATCATCTGCTGTCGCCGCCAAGAAGAAGCTGGAAGGCGAGATGAGAGAACTGGAGAATGACAAGCTGCAGTTGGAAAAGGGCAAGGAGGATGCATCCAAACAAGTTAGACGACTTCAGGTGAGAACCCTGACAAAGCATTATCAGGAGCGTAGCTGGTCCCCCTTTTAGGGGGTTGAACGGCCGCATATGTTTAGGATGGCTGGTGCATGTCATTCATGGTCATTATGTGCATGCTGAATCTAGGTCGGAATTGTTAGGGGGTGCACGTACCCCCCCCCCCCCCCTCCAGTGCGGGCTATGCGCCGGTGGATTCATACGTTGTTTATCCGGGCGGTCCAGGACGGGGCATTGCTCGTGTCTTCGAACTATCTTTAGCTCGGAGTCGCATACGATTCGATTGAGAAAGGCGGGTGATATGGCATATGACGTCACATTTCCACAAAAGTGACAAAGAGTAGTAAAATTTCCACTAGAACTCGTGCAAGTGCCCTGCAGACGTAAGTGACGTCAACTTTGGTGTCCGGATAACTGACTTACCAGTATGTGTGTACTTGTACCTAGCTAGGTGGTGGCTGGGTATGCGCGTGTGCATGTGTGCGTGTGCTTTCTGGGTGGTGCCGGTTGGTTGGAATGAGCATGTCAGGTTGTTCTCGGATGGAGCGTCTGTGTTAGCCGACACCATAGCCTCTACTGCAGTTGCTGCTGCTGCTGCTGTTCTTACTAATGATGGTGATGTTATGGACGCTACTGCATACTTTGCTCAGGTTGCTGCTGCTGCTGCTGGTGGTGGTGGTGGTGTGCTGCTGTTGCTGGTGGTGGTGGTGGTGGTGGTGGTGGTGGTGGCGGTGTGCTGTTGTTGCTGGTAGTGGTGGTGGTAGTGTGCTGCTGTTGCTGCTGGTAGTGGTGGTGTGCTGTTGCTGCTGCTGGTGGTGGTGGTGTGCTGCTGCTGGTGATGGTGGTGGTGGTGCTGCTGCTGATGTTACTGCTGATGCTGTGATGCTGTTGATGATACTGATGCTCTTGCTGCTGTTGCTGATGTTTGTTGCTGGTGTGTGTGTGTGTGTGTGTGTGTGTGTGTGTGTGTGTGTGTGTGTGTATGTGCACGCGCATGTGTGTGTGTGTGTGTGTGTGTGTGTGTGTGTGTGCACAGGCTCAAATGAAGGAGGTCTATCACGAGCTGGAGGAGTCCCGTACCGGCCGCGATGCAGCACTGCAGCTGTCCCGTGAAGCCGAGAAGAAACTCAAGGTTCTAGAGCCGGATGTCACACGCCTTACTGAGGTCAGTAGCCAGTGATAGGTCCACCGTCTGTTTTCTTGTATTCTGGTTTCCACTTCATCCCGTGCTGGGAACATTGTGTAGACAGTCTACTTTGCAGATACTTTCTCGTTGTGACTTGACATTGATATTTGCTTTTATCTCTCCTTTTTCTCTCTCTCTTTCTCTCTCTCTCTCTCTCTCTCTCTCTCTCTCTCTCTCTCTCTCTCTCTCTCTCTCTCTCTCTCTCTCTCTCTCTCTCTCGCTGCCTCTGCCACTGACAGGAACTGATGTCGGCCGATAGAGCCCGACGTAACGCCGAGGCAGAGCGTGATGAGCTGTACGACGAGGCACGCGGTAACAGTCCACGCCTGCAGTCGCTGAGCGAGGAGAAGAGAAAGCTAGAGCAGGCTATTGTGCAACTGGAGGAAGATTTGGAGGAAGAACAAGCCAACACAGAAATGTACATGGAGAAGTCCAGGAAGTCACAGTCTCTGGTAAGTAGAGAAACTGTGTAGAATGATAGCCGTTTACATCATTTTTATGGTACAATGTGCCTCGCTTGTGTGTGACTTGCGATGTTTGCACGGGGTGGCACCGCGTGGCACTCGTCTGTACAGGATCAAATTTCGGTGTTGCGGATCTAACAGGTTTCAGGTGCAATGCAGAATTAGGTGACCAGCATTCCCTGCACATACAGTTCCTACTCCAGTGCTTTTTAGGTGTTATTGATGTATTCATGTAATGAATTCAGTTTAGCGTAGGCGCACATCTCGCAACTACGTATCTGCTGCGCTACAGCGCCCTCTACGGTTCTGGCCGCGGCACTTGTTTAGCGCGCCTTGCCGCGACCGGCAAGACCGCCTGCTGTGCATCACATTAATTTATGCGTACGCCATCACAATAATTAATTCAGTTTTGATCGGGTCCGAGTCCGCAACGTGGCACATCTCCTTGCCATTCTCAGTTTTGAGTCTTCTCTGCTTTGGCTCATGCCCGACTTGCATCCTGCTGCCTTTGTCTTTTGCTGACCGAACTGTCATTGCCTAGTCATGTCGGGCACCAGGAAGAGAACCCGTCGCGCAGCACCTAGCCCTGTTCCCGACCCACCTGTTTCTTCGGCTGCGGACCCCGAGCTGCCGAGTAACGCTGCCTCACCACTCGACGGCGGACAATTCAAGCAATTTATATCTGACGAAGTCCAGAAAGCCGTCACCGCCGCCCTGGCAGAAACGGTCTCCCCACTGCTTGCCACCATCGGATCCTCGCAGCCTTCCCCCGCCATGGCCGTACCCACCGGAAATGCTGCGCCAACTGGTCCGGGTGCTGGCTCTCTATCTCATCCACTGAACGTGCCGTCTCACGTGAGAGAGAGGATTTTGCGAGGTGAGTGTGTTGATTTGAATACACTGTTACCGGAAGCTCTTGGGGCACCAAAGCGTGACACGATTCAGTTGAATTTCAGTGGGTCCAGGACTGTTGAGCTGCTGGATCCCAGCTCTGGCGGGCATGTCGAGAAAGTTCGTAGGCATGTTCACGACCTGGTTACATGGCTAGAAGCCTGGTCCAGATATATGTTCGTACTATGCTCGCACGCACCCAGCCGTTTCTCCGAACTGATGGCATATCAGGCCACCATTGTATCGGCCAACTCCTCATACTATCCGGAGGCCTGGCTCGAATATGACCGGGAGTTCCGTCTGGCAATCTCTCTTGACCCCAGTAAGCGTTGGGACGCCATTGACGGCAATCTCTGGCAACTGAAAATGACAGGCCGCTCACGCCCGCAGTGTAGCACATGCCGGATCACTCACCCTCCATCGGGTAGCCAGTGCCCTTTTCGTGCCTCCCGAGTACCAAACCAGCAGTTTGCACCACGGTCTGCCTACACCAAGTCTGGCAAAGAGATCTGCCGGAATTTCCAGCAAGGTCGATGCTCCAACACCGACTGTAAATTTGCCCACGTCTGCTCCCAATGTGAGGGCGCACATGCCCGCCCCTCCTGCCCGCGTCGCTTCTCCACTGGCAACCAGCGGCAGAACAAAGCTTAATGAACTGCATCTCGATAGTAGCATTCTCCGGACACACCCTACATTCTTTCACACTTGCCGCACACCTATTCACGTTAATCGCCTCCGTTCCTTACTGCGTGCACACCCCGATCAAGCTTTTGTTAAATATGTACTTCATGGCCTTACGTATGGTTTTGACATCGGCTTCAATGGCCCACGCCAAAGCAGCATGTTCTCCCCTAACTTACCTTCTGCGAGGATGCATCCCGATTTTATTACCAAATACCTGCAAGAATGTTGCTCCCGCTTTGAACTGCTAGGTCCTTTTTCCTCCTCGCTTTTTCCTTTTTTTCATTGCTCCGGTGTTGGCTGCGTTCCGAAAAAGAACGGCCGCTTCCGTTTAATCCACCATCTCTCTAGCCCAGAGGGTCAAAGTGTTAACGATGGAATTTCACGTGAAGATTTCAGCTTGCATTACATCACTATTGATCACGCGATCGATGCCATTATGCAGTACGGTCGTTCTGCTTATCTTTTCAAACTTGACATTCGGAGTGCTTTCCGCATTGTACCTGTGCGGCAGGAAGACTGGCCTCTGCTAGGTATTCACTGGCAAAACCAATATTATTTCGACACTGTGCTCCCCTTTGGCTTACGCTCCAGCCCTGCCAATTTTAACTCTATTGCCGACTGCCTTGAATGGATTGCTCGCTATGAGTTTTCTATTACTGACCTGCTCCATTATCTAGATGATTTCCTTTGCATTTCTCCATCGGAGCTGGTGGCGAACCAACGTGCTTCAATCCTGCTTCGCTGTTTTAACTATGTCCAAGTCCCCTTGGCACCTGACAAAGTGGAAGGTCCAGCTCAAGTGCTGTCGTTCCTGGGCATCGAGCTGGACTGTGGCAGACTGGAGGCCCGGCTACCAGACACCAAGTTGCAAGATCTCCGCACCTTGCTCGACCAGTATGTCAACCGTGGCGACATGACCCAACGCGAACTCGACTCACTATTGGGAAAACTCTCCTTCGCAGCTCGGGTAATTATACCTGGTCGGACATTCATGCGCCGACTCTGGGATATTTGTCACCGCTACAGTCAGCCACACTATAAGATCAAACTCTCAGTCGAGGCCCTGGAAGACCTGAAGTGGTGGCAACGCCTCCTCTCGCAATGGAACGGAAAGTCCTTCTTTCATATGCCAAATTGGACCCCGTCTCCCGACATCCAATTGTTTACTGATGCCAGCGGTTCGATCGGCTGGGGCGCATGTTATGGCCATCGCTGGATCCAGGGACAGTGGTTGCCGGAACAAGCCGACTACTCCATCGAGTGGAAGGAGATGTTCGCCATTGCCGCAGCTTGCTCCTCCTGGGGCCTTGAATGGCGCAAGCTCCGCATACTCGTGTACTGTGATAACGAAGCCGTAGTGACATGCCTGTCCAATGGTTGTAGCCGCTCCCCCCCAGTCATGGACCTGATACGACGGCTGTTCTTCATGTGCGCTAACTTTGGCTTCATTCTGTCAGCAAAGCATATTCCAGGATGCACTAACAAAGCCGCTGATGCTCTGTCTCGTTTTAACATGCAGGTGTTTCGCGAGGCGGTTCCGGGAGCTCGGGCGACAGCCGACCTGTTCCAGTCATTCTAACTGCCGCGGACGAATTAGCAGCACGATATGCTGCTCACGCTCTATCCGACAACACCAGACGAACGTATTCCGCCGGCGAATCTAAGTATCTCAAGTTCTGCCAACTTCAAAGATGGTCCCCGTTTCCCGCTTCAGACCTAATGCTGAGTAGTTTTGCTGCCTCCCTAACCCAGTCGGTCAGACCAGTGACTATTAAGGTTTACCTCAGTGCTATCAAGAACCTGCACCTGGAGCTCGGTTATGTCGACCCGACCGAGGGCGCGCACTTCCTCAAGCAAGTGGTACGCGGTATTTGCCGTTGCCATGGAGTAGCCGCTGTCCGCCCCAGGCTGCCAATCACGTTTCCTATTCTCTGCAGTCTGGTTGACACCTGCCTAGCTGCTCCAACCATGTGCCCTCACGACAAGCGCTGCCTGCATGCCGCTATGCTTGCTGTGTTCTTTGGTTTCTTCAGATGCGGTGAACTGCTAGAAGCACCTACCACGCGCGGCTGTTTGACATTCGAGTCAGGGATGCTCCATGTGCACCTACCACGCTCGAAGACAGACCCGTCCGGGGAAGGTACGACGGTGCTGATCGGGCCAGCGGTGCCGCCATACTGCGCTGTGAGAGCCATGCTCACCTACCTCACTGCAACCGCCTCTGCTCGTCCAGGCAGTGCTGTGTTCATCCTGGCCAACGGGCAACGCCTCAACCGCAGCACTTTTACAGCCCACGTACGCACGCTGCTTAGCACCAGCGGCGTGGCAAACTGGCAGGACTATGCAGGCCACAGCTTCCGTATCGGGGCCGCTACCACTGCTGCCCTTGCTGGCGTCCCCGACCACCAGATCCGCTCCGCGGGACGGTGGCGCAGTGATGCATGCCTACGCTACATCCGGACACCACCGTCATCGGCCCGAACGCTGGCCAGCAAACTATCCTCAGTAAGATCATCTCCCTGACACCGATGTTTCTCAATTCACACAATTCCCTCATAATGAACTATGCTATGCTGCACTGCAATACTGTTGTGTATGGGTATGTACTGGCGGTATGGCGAGTCACTCATAACTGGTCTGCCTTTCTATTGCGGCATTATGGCCTTATGGTCCTGCCTTTCCATTGCGGCAATCACAGCCTCCGGGCTTCTGCCTTCCTGCGGCAATCACAGCCTCCGGGCTTCTGCCTTTCTGCGGCACTCGCAGCCTCACGGGCTCGTGCCTACCTTGCGGCAAAGACCAACCAGTTCCTCGTCACCAGTACTTACCCAACACAACCTAGCCTTATTCGTGTGGTGTATGCCTGTCTGCATGCCGTCTGTGTGCGCGGAATGCTAATGATGTATGCCTGCCTGCATGCCGTCTGCGTGCGCGGAATGCTAATGATGTATTCATGTAATGAATTCAGTTTAGCGTAGGCGCACATCTCGCAACTACGTATCTGCTGCGCTACAGCGCCCTCTACGGTTCTGGCCGCGGCACTTGTTTAGCGCGCCTTGCCGCGACCGGCAAGACCGCCTGCTGTGCATCACATTAATTTATGCGTACGCCATCACAATAATTAATTCAGTTTTGATCGGGTCCGAGTCCGCAACGTGGCACATCTCCTTGCCATTCTCAGTTTTGAGTCTTCTCTGCTTTGGCTCATGCCCGACTTGCATCCTGCTGCCTTTGTCTTTTGCTGACCCACCATCCCACCACTAACCATTAATACTACATTGCATCATTCCTACTTCAAGTACAATAAACCTGGTGGCGAGTCACTCATAACTGGTCTGCCTTTCTATTGCGGCATTATGGCCTTATGGTCCTGCCTTTCCATTGCGGCAATCACAGCCTCCGGGCTTCTGCCTTCCTGCGGCAATCACAGCCTCCGGGCTTCTGCCTTTCTGCGGCACTCGCAGCCTCACGGGCTCGTGCCTACCTTGCGGCAAAGACCAACCAGTTCCTCGTCACCAGTACTTACCCAACACAACCTAGCCTTATTCGTGTGGTGTATGCCTGTCTGCATGCCGTCTGTGTGCGCGGAATGCTAATGATGTATGCCTGCCTGCATGCCGTCTGCGTGCGCGGAATGCTAACTAAATTTAAGTGCCTGGTTTCTCTACGGAAATTAAAGTTACACCGAAAACAACATGTTATACTATACCTGGTGCATGCTGCAGATGTTGCGCATGCAGTAAGTGGTCTGCGTACCGTGATTGGAATTTGTTATGGGCGGGGATGCTTTGGTACTCCACGGTCACCCCAGCTATGTCACAGATAGCGATTCCTGTGTGTGTGCGTGTGTGTGTGTGTGTGTGTGTGTGTGCGCGCGTGTGTGTGTGTGTGTGTGTGCGTGTGTGTGTGTGCGCGTGTGTGTGTTACACACAGCTTGAATCGACCCAAGTTGAGATGAGCGCACTCAAGGAGGAGGTTGCCACGCTGAAGCACAGTAACGCAACTCTGGACAGACAGGTACTAAGCGTTGCTATCGTGCAGGCAATACGTGTGCTCAGCAGCTGTTGTGTCATGTACTGACATACGGAAGTGGTTTATTTTACAGACAGATGAGTGTAGATATAGTGAAGAGTCAGGGAGGCCATGCCCAGCAGAGCGTGGTATCGTGCGTAGCACGGGGGTAGTGCGAGGTCACGTACCGTCTTTACATGGCGACACACAGGGGAAGGACTATGCCGTGAATGGGTGAAAGGATAACATGATACAGGATACAGGGTATATTCTAGGACGAATTTCCAACCGGTTACGGTCCAATGAAGAGTCGGGGGGGGGGGGGTCCGGGGGTCCCCCCGTAATTTTTTTTCAAAATACAACCCAAATATGGCACTCGACAGCAATTTAACAGATTTCTTGGTGCAAACCGTACAAACTCGTGACCCTAGTACCAGCCCACGCGGCTTCGCTGGAAGTATCCGTCCAGAAAAAAGCGTTTGACCATTCACAGCTCCATTCACCCACAGAAAAGTACGGGCGGTTGGAACTGATTTGTAACTTTTCAACCGGTCGCCAACAATTTCAACCGGTCGAAAACCGGTTGGGGCGGTTCTAGAAAATTCCCTGGGATAGGACAGCAGCCACACCAGCATGTACAGAGTACTGGTCTTAATGGGGATATTTTGTACGTACATGTAAATCTAAATAAGAAGTATGGTTGCAGCGCGTAGCTCGCATGGGGCACGGGGGGAGACACATGCACCCCCTGAAATTCCCAACCCAGGTGCAGCACGCGCATGTTGACCATGAATGTCATGCACCAGCCACCCTACACATCCGTGCACCCCCCTAAAAGGGAGATCAGCTACGTCCCTGAGCGGCTGTATGCTTTGGACGCTCACGGCCATTCTTGGTCTGTTTAGTGTTGCCATGTTGAGAAGCAGGTCCAAGAATTTCTGCCTGTTTGTGGTGGCTTGTCTTTCTCTGCTTCTTTCAGACCAAGGATCTCAAGTCGAAATTGGAATCTGCGGAGAATGAGCGTGGCTCACGTCTGAAGGGTCAAGTGCGCTCACTAGAGATGAAGATCTCCACACTGGAGGAGCAGATAGAAGTAGAATCGTGGTAAGTGTCACCAATGCCGAATTTCTCACGTGTACCTGTATGCATGCCATCATGATCTGTAGGCAAGCCAGCGCTGTCCACCATTCAGACTACTGTATTGTCTTGTATTAAAGCCTGTCTCATATAGAAACCTGTTTTAAATACAAGCCTGATTTTCAAGATGCATCGTCGGCACATAAGCCTTGTTTTAGTGTTGACACACATAGAAAGTTAGAAAGACCTGGTTTGGATAGAAGCCGGATGTGAATAGAAGCCTAGCCCTGACATCGGTTTCTACAGGAATACTTTGATACGCGACATGACGGTATGTGCACCGGTTTCTTCGTTGTCTGAGTCTCTTCCACGGGATACTGCAGTTCTACAGTGCTGAGCTCAATGAAGTCCGGTTGTCCGAGTCAAGTTGCCCCCCCCCCCCCCCCCGCCCACACACACACATCTGTGGTCCCTTCTTGCTATAAAATGTTACATTACAAAGTCACTGTTCGCGTGTCCAACGTTGTCAACCCGCCCCTTTTTCCCTATGGTCCTGCACAGCGAAAAGCATAGCCTGCAGAAGACTAACCGGCGCTTGGATCGCAAGAACAAGGACCTGATTGGTCAGGTGGAGGAGGAGCGTCGACGTGGCGATCAGCTTCATGAGCACGTGAGTAGAGTACTGTGCAAGTACTAAGAATACGCTTTTTTCTTTCTTTGTGACGGACTGTGGGGTGTTTATTAGGCCAGGGGCGGCGCAAGGTATTTTAGTGTGGTACGGTCAGCCATCTGAAGTACAATTTACTCGTGGGGGAGGGGTGGCTGAGCCGAAAATTTGCATACCGGTATGGTTGTTTTCACTGGCGAATCCGGACGTTTTCACTTTGACTTGGGTTTAGACTTATGATTTTCTTGACTGGAGCACAATCAGCAGATTCCACTATTCAACCAGCTTGTGACGTGGTTTAGGTGTAGACCTGTAGAGATAAGTGGAGCCTTTGTCGGCCTCTCAAATTTATTACTACATGTATCACTCTGCTGTTGCTGTTCTCGCAGAATGACAAGTTGTCACTTCGAATGAAGGCACTCAAGCGTCAGTTGGATGAAGCGGTAAGTGTGTGTGTGTATGTGTGTGTGTGTGTGTGTGTGTGTGTGTGTGTGTGTGTGTGTGTGTGTGTGTGTGTGTGTGTGTGTGTGTGGTTTTATTTTATTTTATTTTACTATGTTCACCTACCCAGCTCGAAAAGAATAATGAAAGACAATGGTACAGAGAGTAGGACAGATGTGTATGTCTCAGTGCTGAAATTATCTCAACTGACTGGCGTGCCGTGGAGTTGGCCAAACATGTTTGTTGTTCCTCTTTCGATGTTGTGCGTAGTTTGAATTGCCAGGCCTGTGATTTGCTTGCGTGTCAAGGTTTGCTGCGTGCTGTAAAACCAAAACGATTCTTTGGCTCAGGGTTCTCAGCAGCAGGATCGATGTGCACGTGCGGGGCATGCGGACCTGGGGGTGTACGTGTACGACTAGTGCTGGCCTGCGCCTGATCACTCAGTTCGTGCGTACTAGTACTAGGCCTAGGGTCTCCATACACGGGATCCTCACCAAAAGCGACATGTACGGGCTGACGGTGGACGTGGACCGCTTTTGGCTCCGGAGTAGAGCATGCAACCGTAGTATGGCTATGTGTACGCCCAGTACAAGTACGACGGCTAGCGGAAGCCAGTGCAGGTGCGTCATGCGTATGGTAAGTACTAGGACTAGTAGGAGCAGAACCCTGATTGGCCTGAAACTGCAACTGGTTCATTGCAAAGGACTGCTCACTGTTGTAATCTAATTTGTTGCTCACAATACTGTTGCCGAAATAAGGATTATCACTTACTGTACAGGCAGAAAATTTCGTCGGTCAATAATTTCGTCCAACTCCTAAGAAAGGGATTTCGTCCGGTTGAAAATTTAGTCCATGGACTATAACAGTGTATTGAAACACTGGACAAATTGACATTCGTCCGGCATTTAATTTAGTCCCAAAGCTCCTTGGACGAAAAAGACGAAATTAAATTCCAGACGAATATTTCTGCTTGTACAGTACTTTCGGCAAGCGAGGTTTCGGAGACGGTGCGGGACGAAACAAATCCATCGGTGGAGAAGGGAGCATCGACCTGGTAGCAGCATCAGGTAAGCCAGTGAGCTCGTCATCATCCGGGGCCACCTCCTCGAACTCAGTGTCGATCTCCCGATCCATCCGCGCACTTCTGTGCGATACGGAGAGGATCCGCCGCACAAGATCAGAGCGTGCACCACCGGTGGGGAGATGCAGCCCCCGGCAGATGTCCCTCAACTGCTCGTGGCGAGCAAACGCCAACGACTCGAGATCCATGGCTAGCTCACTTGCGGCCCCACGAACTCGAAAAAACGAAAAACTAGAAATAAAAATACGCAAACTTTCAGCAACGACGGAGGTACGCAGTACTGACACACAGTGACTGCACCACTTCTGACACCATGTGAAGGGCCTAGGGGAGGACACACCAACAACCCACTCTTGTCCGGCTAACCGACAACTAACCCTGAAGGGCTGTCATCCTTGTTATTTTATCTTGGTGTGTAAAGTTGTACAATATGTGAGTACTAGAAAAGGTACCGGTAGTACGGGAAGTAGTATGCAGCATGCTATTCTAATGTCATATATGGACAGGTGTAAATATGAGGATGTGAAGGTTATAGTTACTGTATATGTATATGTATAGGGATATTTAATGGCACCAAATGATATAGTTCCAATATCATCACACCATTCCCCTTCTCCGGTCACAGATACCATCTGTGACATTGACTAAACGAGAAACAATAGATATAGGATGTAACGGCACTAAAGGATATAAAGGTACAATATCATCACAGTGTAACATTTTCGGCTTACCCCAGAATCGGGGTTTCAGTAGCGTTTATTCTTCAGTATCGGTTAGTTTGGCTGCTCCCATGCAAGTGCTGGTGTGTACTACAGTCAGACCTCGCTTATCCGATCCTCTTTTATCCGCATCCCTCACCATCCGGAAGAAAATAGCTGGCTGCAGATTTACAGCCTACGTGATGCATCCAACATAACCGGTGTTCGGTTATCCGGTTCCCTCACCTATCCGGATATATTTTTTATCCGGAAAACAGATGTGAGCGGTTAAGTGAGGTCGGGCTGTATTGTACTGATAGCACTACCTGGTGGCATTATTTTTTTAGGTATAGTTTTGCTGCACCTGTGTTACCAAAAAATGAAAACTCCACTGAAAATGTCTTTAGTTCCATATTTCCACAGATGATCGTAGCTTGAAAATCGATTCTGGATAAACACAATTTCAAACCTAGAACAAATTGTCATGTTGCGTGGTGATGTCTGCTGCATTCATACTTTTCATAGGTATTATTGAACTTTTATCTCCATGGAGATTATTTGAAAAATTTCTGGTGTTGCAGTATTAGCGCTTTGTCGGTTGAGGTAGACACCTTGTCTAGTATCGTCTTTGCTGGTGTACTTACCTACTTTGTGTCGCATTGTTCTTGGCGTTTGCAATGGACATGTGTGTGTGTGTGTGTGCGTGTGTGTGTGTGTGTGTGTGCGTGTGCATGTGTGTGTGTGTGTGTGTGTGTATGTGTATGCATGTGTGCGTGCTCACAGGAGGAAGAGGCGTCGCGCCTGACGCAGTCGCGTCGGAAGCTGCAGCGGGAGCTCGACGAGGCCACCGAGACGTTCAACTCTGTGCAGTCTGAGCTGACACAGTTACAGAGGGGTGTCCGTACCGGCATGCCCCGCAGCTACTCAGCCAGGAAGCGCAAGTCAGAGCAGGTCGGGGAATCCGATGATCTCGGCGACGACTGAGTGAATTCTTGACATCGCTCCGAGTAATGATTTTACTACTTGACCCGTGGTTTCTGAGCTAGTACTGTGAGTTGCTCTGAGCAGTGTGCAATCGGTGTAGACCTGATGCTGAGGGTGATGTGAGAGGTTAGAGTCAGTTCCTCTGCTTGCCTGCTTGCCCGCTGGTCAGTGAGAAAGGTGGGCTCTGTGCAGGGTTGCTGAGTGCCGTGCAACTCATGCCTACGTCTTCGTCGTGAAGGATGGCCAGTGGCAGGGATCCATGTGTGTGTGTGTGTGTGTGTGTGTGTGTGCGTGCGCCATTTTTGAGAGTAGAGAATTTGCAGCATCTACGTGCCGGCCGGTGATCGGTTAGAAACAAACGTTGGGCCATAATCAACCGTGATATCACAATACTCCTCCCCCCCCCCCCCCCCACCACCACTCCCCAAGCTGTGTGTCCTGTCCTATGATGCTTATCTATGTACCATGGCACGGCACCCCCCCCCCCCTCCCTCCCCGCCATGCACTGCTGTTGCGGAGCGGTCTGCCCTTCGCATTTCTCATCACGCCCTGCCGTATGCTTGTTGGTTGAGATGAGCGCCGAGAGTTGCAATGCTTCAGCTTTCCTTCATCCTGTCGTCTCATTTTGACACTAGGACTCTTTTCTGTACTTCTTTACTTCTGCAGTTCTTGTTTTTTTTTGTTTTTTTTGCGCTTGCCAGCTGTTTTTAATTTATTTTATCGCCTTGAGTATGTCTAGCATCGGCCCCCGGTGCGTTTTCAGTCTCTTTGCTTCTATCAGCGTGTGTGTGTGTGTTTGTGCGCGCGCACGCGTGTGCTTCTGTAAGTGTTCTAAAACTTTTGAAAGGTTTTTCATTGTGCTACTACAGTGGTTCAAGCAGGTCGATGCGTGCGCCCTTTGCCAACCTGTGCTGTAGCAGACTGCATGTTCTCACAGCTATGCACACTCGCGTACCCGCACACCTGGCAAAAGTATTCTACCCTGCACTGCCCTTGCCCGCTTTAGCTTTTTATCTGTTTTTTAAAATTCCTTTCCCTTCCTCTTTTTCGTTTTTACAGAATATTTGCTGCAGTGTTTTCTTGTTCCTGCTCTCTCCTGGTTGTACCTTTTCTTTGGTGATAATTATTTGTTTTCTTGTGTCCCGATCGCAGACGGAGCCATGTAAAGTGTGAGCAGCAGAAGAGTGACAATGCCTCTGAGTTCACTTGTGACGTTGTCGCGGGCAGCCCCAACGCTCCATGTAGATCAAAACTTTTTTCTTATTTTGTTTTACTGCCGTGGTTACCGTGTAAAGTAGGTTTTCCTGAATTTCAGTGCTGTTGTTGGCTAGTTGTGAGTGAGAGGACCTATAGGATGTGCTATTTCAAGTGCTTGTTGTGTCGCGCTTTTACCTGTTCTTCTTCCGTACATTTGTATCAGTTTTTTGTTGTTGTTGTTGTTGTAAATCTAAGGCCCTTGGTGACCTGTGACTGCTGTGAGTATGTGTTTCAGCTTGTGTTTTTGAGAATGACAGTTGTCACTGGACATGATGTGTGCAAGCTGCAAGCACACGTGTGCGTGCGTGTGTGTGTGTGCGTACGTGTGTGTGTGACCTTGTATATCATGTGTATTATGCTATGCACATAACGTTACGTGTGAGGAAGGATAATCCCCCCCCCCCCCGTGCTGAATTTGCAACAACTATAATTAATAATTATTATTATACCTTTACACGTGCTATTTGGCACGGAAGGGTTTCCCAGCGTGAGTTCCCACCCACCCATTCCTATAGAGTATGACAAGGTTATCCCCTGCACCTTCAGTTCAGGGCAGCGTCAAGGTTTAGCACCGAGCTGACGGATGGCGCTACTACTATACTACTAGACTGCAGAGACAGTGTAGTAGTGATGAGTGATGTGCAATATTTTCATCCTGCATTCTAACATTTTAGTCATGTGCATTTTGTTACATAACTAGCAGCACCCCCGCCAGCGTTGCCTGGCCGAATGTGGCATGCGGGTGAAGCAAGTACATGAACAGCACACGTGCTCAGCACGTGGTGGTGGCCAGACCGCTGAAGTCCTGGTGAGGGAGGTTCTTCATCGTTGGAAGGAGAAGGAGGGACGTCTGTTACGCCTTCGGGAGGCTGGTCAGGGTTGTCCATCACCTGGTACATGGTGGTGGCGGATGAAGCGGCTCAAAAAATTCATAAACTTACGAACAAAAGTGCGATGCGCTCTTCATGCAGAGTGCAGTCAGTGCAGATCTTTTGTATCCTTTTGTTGCAGATGTTTTTATTTGCAGAGAACGGTTCACGTGGTCCGCAGCGCTTGTGCGGCTGCTAGGAGTGCTACCAAGACTTGGCAAGAGTCCATAACCCAGGACTCCAAGAGTATGCAACTGTGATCTCTTTTCTATGGGCCAACCGCGCGGCGCGCTGCCTTCATTACATCATTCAGCTGCAGGCCGCGCACTGCGGAAAATCAAACACCGCACTTTCCCTCTAGTTTGAAATGAACTTTCGTACGGAACTGGAGTTCACGCGCCAGAATTCAGAGATTGTGTAGGTACTGGAACGAATCGAGCAAAAACGGATGGGCTCGTGCGAGAAATTGAGAGTTTGAATGCATGCTTCCAGAGCGTGATGAAGGCAAGTTACGTAATGAAGGCAGCGCGCCACGCATGCACCCATAATCACAGTTGCATACTAGTACCAAGAGTCCATAACCCAAGAATACTCTTGGGTTATGGACTCTTGGTGCTACCTATGGCTAGGTGGCTACATGATTCGCACGCTTCGCGTGCTCAGTGCTTCTGCGCGCGGCTGCTACTCGTACTGATCGTGTCTGCTATGTATCTTGAACTTTACTTATAAAAGAGAGGCACCTGTGACGTGTGTCTGTGTGTGTGTGTGTGTGTCACGCTCCTTATAAAGAAGAGGCACCTGTGACGTGTGTTTTTGTGTCACGCTGAAGCGCTGCGGAGCAGCGCTGCCCTAGGCCCTGACTCCCCTGAGCACGCGAAGCGTGCGAACAGTGTAGCACAGTGTAGCTAGCGGCCGCAGAAGCACTGAGCACGCGAAGCGTGCGAATCGTGTAGCTAGCGGAAGCAGCCACAGAAGCACTGAGCACGCGAAGCGTTCGAATCGTGTAGCCACCACCACGTGCTGAGCACGCGAAGCGTGCGAACATGTTAAGGTGGCTCACACCCTCTGCGCGCGCATCGTTTGAAAAGTGTAGATTTTCAGTAAATTTTTCGGTAGCGATGATTTTTGTGCGATCAATCGTTGTAGGAATTTGGAATTGGAAACGTCTTCTCGCTTTTCTGCAATTCTGGCGACCTAGCTAGAACCTGCTGCTACTGTGCTAGTGTCCCTCTTCACTCGTTCTTTCTATGAAAGGGGAAGGCAGCACTCGCAGAAGATTTTCCAAGAATGCAATGTCGACTGGTGCTCGTACTATAAGAAGGGAGAAATCAAAGTCCGCTCTTGAATCACGCCTGAGTCGAAAATTATTTCAGAATACGCTTGTGTAGATTTCCTGCCAGTGCCACTGACATCTCGCGACCTTCAAATATAACTTGCTCGATCATCTCCCGCACTGACTGGTAAATTCGTCGGGTAGCTGTGGATGGATCGATTCAGGGAGATCGAAGGTAAATACATCGAAGCACTTCAAACACGTTTCAAGACGCACTTCAAATTTTGTAATTGTGTCTTGAAAATTGTTTACAACAATTCGTACTTCAATACGCTGTTGAATTGTATCCTCTGCTTGGGAGTCTCGACTGGTTTATTGCTGTATGGCTTTCCTCAACACCGTTCACTGTACATGTATCGCGGAACGCAGATTGGATGGCATTGGAGGTGAATTTGATAATTTGTGACTGTGTCATCAACCAAGTGAGGACATCAAATATCAACAGGGACGTTCCGAAAATCACAAACGCTGCGAAATAGGTATGAAATGGTCTTACACACTGGTGGGTATTCCACATTCATTGTGTCATATCTTTAGACTGTTCGAAAGTTTGTCGTGCCGTGCAACTTTCACGGACTAATCCGATAATTGGCATGTGGCCCTATCGGCACACACTAATGCGTATGCCGCTGAGTCTATCTATATGTGCACGCACATGTGTGTATACTTACACAATTTTATTACGTATGCAAAATTAGGCAATCTACATGTATATGTGTGTGCACTCACTCCTATGACATAGGCTATGTAGAGTCGCACGAATGTGTGTTACCCGGGTGTGTATATGCATGCGCACTCGCGCGGGCGTTTTGTGTGCGCGCCTGGCATGGCATAACGCCGTTCAATATGACTAGTGTTGAACCGTGGTAATTTGCCCCGCCCCTTCTTTTTTCTATTGGCGTTGGATATGCAACTAATGAAATAAACTCGGTTGTTGAAAACGAGTGCCATGCACCACAATGGATTGACAATAATATAATACAAGTAGCGCTGTAAAAGCGCTGGTAATACTCATGTTGCAACCATGGCAGTTGTGATTAGCTTTCCAAGTCAAGCCTGCTGCAGAAATTATTGCACTCTGACCAGCTGGAGTGGCCCAGGACTGCAGGTTGTGGAGAACAGGAGTGATGCTTGTATATACGCTTGTATTTACATGATGGACTTCGAAGTAACGTTAGGTGTATTACTTGTATGTTCTTCTGCCTGTGCACATGTACATGTGCTAGTCAGTGTGGAACCGCCATCCATATCAGATCATACAGCTCAGCTGCTATCAGTCTCAACAGCTTATATCTGGCAAATAGGGTTTTAGTGACTCAATTTTGCTTACTGTGTTCAACAGAGTGGCATTGCACACAGCTACTTTATGTAATAGTAGCATCTTGGAAATTTTATATTTTTGGTAGTTAGCTTCAGTAGAAACTTCTCCAGTGTGGCTCTTAGCTTCATTACCATGGAGACTAAGCATTCAAGTAATGCACGAAGAACAGTGGCTAGATGCGAAGTGAAAAGCCATTGGACCGTACCCAATGGACTACGCATTTAGTATAGCAGTATTGGTTGCTATGTTGGCAGCAAACACTGTAGAATATAATAATTGCATTACCAGTAGAAAGTGCCCAATGTGCATTGCTTCAGCACTGTGTTTTGGACAAAGCAGTCAAAAAAATCCACATCAGTATTGGCTTCATGTTGGAGAAAGTTGTGAAAAACACTAGAGCATACATGTACACTCAATACACATGCTCAGCTACATGTATGGCATTTAGTATGTGGGCGACTTCAAAGTTCTATTTTGGTAGTTGGCTTCGGTAGAAACTGTCTAAACTTGATCCAAAGCTCTACTACTATGTTCTGAAGATGTTGCAATCAAGTAATGTAAGACACGTATCTGCCGCATTGGAGCTAGTTGTGAAAACCTTTAGACCATACACACAATGCACATGCTCAGCTATGGCATTTAGTATGTGGGCGACTTCAAAGTTCTATTTCGGTAGTTAGCTTCGGTGGAAACTGCTAAAACTTGATCCAAAGCTCTACTACTATGTTCTGAAGATGTTGCAATCAAGTAATGTAAGACACATATCTGCCGTATTGGAGCTAGTTGTGAAAACCTTTAGACCATACACTCAATGCACATGCTCAGCTATTGCATTTAGTATGTGGGCGACTTCAAAGTTTTATTTTGGTAGTTAGCTTCGGTGGAAACTGCTAAAACTTGATCCAAAGCTCTACTACTATGTTCTGAAGATGTTGCAATCAAGTAATGTAAGACACGTATCTGCCGTAGTGGAGCTAGTTGTGAAAACCTTTAGACCATACACTCAATGCACATGCTCAGCTATTGCATTTAGTATGTGGGCGACTTCAAAGTTTTATTTTGGTAGTTAGCTTCGGTGGAAACTGCTAAAACTTGATCCAAAGCTCTACTACTATGTTCGGAAGATGTTGCAATCAATTATTGCAAGATACGTATCTGTCATATGGTGGAGTCAGGGGTTCTAAGGCGTTGGACAATGTCCCAGTGCAATGTGCTGATTCTTGAAAATATGGCATCACTTGACACTTCAAAGTTTTATTTCAAGAGTTACCTTCGGTAGAACCTGCTCAAACTTGCTACACAGTACCATTATTAGGTTATGATAGCATAACCATCGAATACAGGGCAAGTCCAGTGTCAAATACTTGTGGGCGGGGCTAATATGTGGGACGTGTGCGCTGAAATGGGATGATTCCGAAAAGAGAAAAAAGGTCTCCTTCTAGCAGAATTCTACCCACTTCTAAAGCTTATGCTGGTAATTAGCAAGTATACCACTGTCCTGATGTTGGACATCAAGAAAAATGGGGTAACTACGAGTGCTACGGCCAAAAAAGTGGTTTTCCGGTGTTTTTTGGCCTAAATTGGCAATTGTGAGTATGCTATGTTTGGCCCCTCCCCCGAGTGAAACCGGCCGGTAGAACTTGATAAAATTTTGTCTCCGTACACTAGATATCCTACGGA